GAAAAATGGAGTTTACAAAACAGGGAGAGGCAGCCACCACCAAAGGCCTCAAAACTACCTCAGCCTGCTGCTTTGGGTGACCTCCTCAACCCACCTCACTTTCGAATGGAGGGGGGGCGGAGTCTCCCCAGAGGTGAGCCACTTTTAGTTGAATGCCCACCAAGTGGACTCATATCTGTGAAGCATTCTCTTGGTGGGCCTGGCACGGCTCATCTTTCTCTTCTCAAGGCTGTGGTGTCTGCTCTTTTTCAGCCTGTAGCTCCCCAGCACCCTTCATTACTCTCCTCCTTGCCAACTGTGAGCCATCTCCCCAGCAAGCAGGGTGGCAGGGCCACCATAGGCTGCTAGGCAAAAGGTGTGGAAAGATGGGAGTGGAAGCCACTCAGCACTCCCTCCCATCCATGCTGGGGAACCAACCCCTAGAATCCTGTCTGCCCTGAAGGAAGAGCACTCTCGGCTCCTCCAACCCTAAATCTCTTCTATTCATTCCCTAAGGTCCAAATCAGCCAGCACACCTTAACAAAGCTCCACCCACACTAGATCCCCCGCCCTCCCAACACTCCCCAAGGTCCCAAACCACCTTCAGCATCCTTCACCTGTAGATTCCACACCTCCCCATAATAACTTTCTTTCCCACACAAACTGCACACCCAAAGGCAAATGAGGTCCTAGCCCCATCTCAGTAACCCTACGGCCACACCCTGTATCCAGCCTAGGGCATGGGATCCACAGATGTTTGTTCAGTGAACGAGCACAACTCAACTAGCCCCAGCAACCACGTTGCTAAATGCTAATTGCTACTAGCTGCATGAATAATGAAGGAAGAAATGAACTAACAAATGCCTCCTTCTTAGCCTCCTTCTTAGCCAAGTCGCAGGGTCCTTTGGGAGCACAAAGAAGGAATAAATTGACTTGTGGCTGTGGCAGGATGGTTCAAAGGCAAGATGACTGTCTTGGAGGGTATGCGACATGCAGAGGAAGAGGCAGGGAAAGCCCTGGGGTGGGACCCATAGCTCCTGGACTCCCTGGATTCAGTTTTTAACCCCGCTTTGAGTTGATCTGGGAATGTCCCCTTCGGCTGGTTCAGCAGGAGGGGAAGAGCTGAATAAGCTCCAGAATGAGCTCAATTCCTTCTCCCACCACCTCCAGGGATGCAGCGTGGCCGGCCACTCTCCGCTTGCTCATCTGCTACGGCCCCAGAGGTGCTGCCCCTTGCACCTGCTGGCACTTCAGAATCAAAGGCAGATGCGCAAGCAAGCAGCACCGGCTAAAGCGCTCACTGAGCAAACAAGGAAGCGAGATTGATGATAGAGGACGCTGCGCCCTCATCCCTCTCCACTCTCCACCCCTGGAAGAAAAGGTCACACGAATATTCAATTTGTTGCCGGTCAGAGCACGATACTCCCCATATAGGATTTGCTCTAGCCGTCAAAAATAAACAAGTCTGCTTCCACAGACGAAGCTGCTTCCACCCCATCTCACTCTGGCCCCACAACAGGAGGGAGGGACAGAACCACAAGGAGGCAGGCATCAGCACTCTTAAGGTGACAGGGGAACTTTTTCAGTCCGCCTGAACAAAGCCTCAGAAAAAGAAAACACACATCGTCTATCCATCTTCAACATCTACTGAACCATGTTCCGTGACAACAACGAAGACCTGATTGGATTTTTAGGGGATGTGTTCTACGCCCAGGGGGAAATTCTGATCAGACAGTTGAGTCGTTTCTAATTCTACAAACAATCAAGCAACGGTAGGTACGGACAGGCCCTGATCCATCCTCAAGAGCCAGGCCAGGAACCTACAGGCCAGAACAGCCCCTAACGCTGCCTACTCCAAGCAGGACTCAGGAAGTGTCGTGTGGGGCTGTTCCTCCCACGTGGAAAGCCTTGAGTGTCTCCTCTCTACCTGACCTGTGACCCCAGGCTTGGGATTCACCCAGGAACAGCTCTGAAAGGCACAGGTACTCAATGTCACAGACCAAATACTGCCTTTTGCTTTTAATCTTTCCTACAATAAACTGGGTACCACAGTTGATGGGTACCATAAACTATGTGAAGTGAGTTTATGAATCCCAGAAAAGGACTTCTACAGGAAACTGTTTCCTAGCTTTAGAGTCAAAAGGTCAGTTAATTACTGAAAATGATCTTACTCTGAAAGCCTTAGTGAAGAATGACCTCCCCCTGACCTGTTTTGTTGCTACAGTCAGGGTGTCTGTCCAGTAGGTTTTCTTCAGATGGGCACATCAAATTCCTCAACGGACTGATAAGCACTGTGATTTCCTTCAGCTGCAAGAGTCTTTAAGTCTCTAAGACAACCCACAGAAACACCCCAAACCAGCATCTCTGACCCCAAGCACTCTGTGGGACAACTCTCTCGCTTCCAAGGGAACCTTGGCACCACCTCTCCATGTAAGGCATAGGGGTCCACAGGCTTCTGTATCCCTTAGGAGCCCAGGTACTTCAACAGCTGAAGGTCTTAGCGAGATGCCACCACCTTCATTTCTAATAAGGCAGATGGCTGAGCGCTCATCTACCTCCCTCAGGCACCCCACCACCACCCCACTAGTGCCACCAGCTCTGAGGCATGTACTCTGAATGCCCTGCCATCCACACTGACTGTGCCCTGCCCCTGCCCCGCCCCTTGTCTCCCACAATGCTGCAAAGAGCCTTCATTCAAACATATAAATTCTGATCCTGCTCACCTGCATCCATGATTCCATAATCTCCAAGTAGAGTCTCCTTAGGCTGGAGATGCAAATCTATCCACGCCACTCCTCTAGACCTCCTGCCAACCCTACTCTTCCTCCCAGGCTACTGTCCCCAAGCTCTGACCTGCCCTGCTCCAAAGGCCTTCCCAGTTCCTAATGCACGGGGCTCTTGGGCATTCTCCTGAGCTTGCCCGTCTTGTGGCTTCATCCCCTGCCCTGTACCCAAGGACCTTCTCCACTGCCCTCCGGGCAGCCATGCACCTGATGCTCTCACCCCCTGACCCACCCACCCCTAGAGAGTCTTTCCCCACTACTATCATGCCTCCCATCCCCACCACGGTGGGGACTCAACTGCTAAGTTCATTCTGTGAATGACCCCGCTTGTCTGGGCTGCTCAGTTCAACGGAGGTGCCAAATGAGACCAAGGGCTTGATCCCACAGCCTCACTCTGTTGTCCTATACTTGGCAAAAGCCTGCTCAATGGCTAGTCACTTGACGGCTCTATGCAAGAGACGAGGTCAAAGTGCAGGCCAAGCTCAACATAGCCCTGCCCTACCGTGGAGAACGCAATGGGTTAGACGTGTCATTCCACAGTGAGAGGTACAGCAGAGCGGATCCATCTTTCAGCATCCCCTAACAGTACTAAGCAGCATGTTTGGCTGTTATTTCAATAAGCCTTATTAAGACCCAATTTTCTTGGGTCTTCTTTCAGATTCTGCAGCATTTAAAAGCCTCACTGCTTAATTACATTAGGAGCACCTGTATATATTATGTGCAATAAATCAACTTTAATTTACCACCACACAAGGCTATTCATCTTCTCTGGGTTATTTATTGCTCAGTATTATTGGTGCTGAATTGTATCCTCTCTGCTGTAAGAAAGAACAGTTGGGGTAAGAAAAGCCAAAGCTGTACTGCAGAATGCTCCGGGATGCTGATCACACATGTACAGAGCAAAAAGGAAAGAAAAAGAACCATATAAGCGAGTCTTGGCAATCTGCTCCGTGCTATTTTCCTAAAACACTCCCCAAACATTTTGATGTTTTCTTTTGCATGCACACACATTCCAGTCACCCACTGAAAGGACACAACCTGAAAAACAGGCCTGAGGCTCCAGCAGAGCAAGAACTGGGTGTGGGGAAGATGGGTCAGCAGGAAGCTTGGACAGGGGATGCTCCAAAGGCCAAGGGAGACAGCTCCTCCACTGCCTTAACCGGTCCCCAGTTCACTATCAGGGCAGTGATCAGTAGCTGCAGGCACTGTCACCTAGCATGCGGCCCAAGGCCTAAGTCAGGATGCTAGGAGAGACACTGCTCCCAATGATAACATGACCCTGCCATTGCAGAGTTATTAGGTCATCTGCAGACCACGTGTCAGCGACACCAGAGACAGTCAATACTAAATCTTGGACCTTCAACACACCCAGGAAAGGCCGGTGAGAACTTCCTGCACAGTCAGACCATGAACCACTGTCCTGGGGCCAGTGAGCTCAGCAGGTAAAAGGGGGCTTGCTGCCAAAACTTAATGACTTGAGTTCAACCCTGAAACCGACATGATGGAAAGAGCCGACACCCACAAACTGTCCTCTGACTTCCACAATTTACATGTGCTCGCTCACACACACACAGTGTATAAATGTAATAAAAATAAAGAATCACTGTCATAAAACCTGAGAAGCACAGCTAACTAATCCACTACAGGAAAATGTCATGGATGAAAGCATCCACTTCCTTACCCCCTGCCAGCTTCCAAGCTCAGCTCTTAGCTCCCTCAAGCTCACAACTGCCCAAAGTAGGCATTGTTTCCTCTCATCCCCATTTCAAGGATGACAAAACCGAGGCACTGAGAGGTTATTTAACTGGCCCAGCGTGGGATCTTTATAACTCCCTAGGAAGTCTGTTCTCTCAACCAACAGGCTACACTGCCACTGCAAGGCCAAATTCCATACACCTCCCCCTACTGCATGGTAACTCGCTGGCACAGAGTCCTGGCAAGCCAAACCTTTGCTGAAAAATAATTCATTTTTAATAAAAGCCTAAAACTATTCAACATGTGCAGGAAAGCCAGTTCCTACAAGCGATGGATCTGTGTGTGCCAGGGACAACTTGTGAGAGTGGAACCGAGTTTTGGAGGCACCAACACAGGACCAGAGCCATGTCACTCTAGTAAAAGAAGGTCCCTCCCTAAAACACTGCAGAGATGGGGGTGTGAGCACAGGACGTGACTGTCCCCACCCTACCATCTCTTTCCCTCAAGCAACAGGGAAAGGTCACACAGCTCAAGAGCACTTGCCTGGTCACCTGAGGCTGCCCCAGCCTGGACCGTGGGCCCCGTGCGTGCGTTTCCAGGCACACTCCTGAACTTGAACTCCATAAGCAGGCTCTAATGCATGCGGAACAGAACCTCGGAACCCATACAAGGTTCCCTCTCTCAAACAGAAGCCACTTAAGGGGACAGATCAGTGATTCTCAACCAAAGGGGCATACCCCCAGGAGACACTGAGAACACCACATGGAGAGCATGGGGTTCATCGGAGTCTCAAGGCAGAGACCAGGAACACTGTGTTTCCCAACACCACCTCTGTCACATATCTCTTTCTCCCTATACCACACACACAGGTTTATCTGGTCCCAAATGTCAACAGCTCTAAGACTGTGAAACCTTAGGCCAGAGAACTGTCAATAATTAAACATTAACACCACAATCGAAACACAGCCTCCCCAGTGCCTTCTATCACCCGCCTCTCCCCACCCCAACTCCCATTCCTACCCAAAGAAACAGGAATCTACTGCCACCAATGCCATCGTGTAGTCCCAACAGTCACCAGCTGTACACCCACTGGCTGCACACCAGCTGTAATCACCAATGGGAGCCAGTGGCCCTGACCCTGTACGGAAAAGGAGGGTTGACCCAGGAGAGGCTGGGACTCAGTGAAATCAACCCTGAATTTTCCAGACAAACTCCCAAGGCCAGGGAACCTAACAGCACACTGTGGCTTCCCAGATCAAATCAGCAAAGAGATGAAGGTTTGGTTACAACATAAATCTCCCTGTCCAGGCAACAACCATTAAACTCAGGTTGGCTGGAAAATCAACTCTGGCTAAAGCCTTGTTGGATGGCAGGCATTGTGCGATGGTCTCTGCAGAATAAGTATGCTTCCCATGAGCCACCAAGTGTCATCATCCTTACTTTACAGGTGGCATATAAGAGGGGAAGCTCCAAGGGTTACATAATCTAGCCAGGTCACCCAGTCACGGTTCAGATCCCAGAAAGATCTAGGGAAGGGGCTCTAACCACCAAACACTACCTACCACCTGTTCTTCTTAGGGAGGGACAATAAAGAAGGAAGCCCAAAAATTCCCTCGGGGCTCCTGAGACAAGGCCCAGTCAGCACGCCACTCCTTAGAAATAACCTGGCCAGCTCGAATCACTCACCTAACATCACAGTGGTCAAGCCATGACTCGCTATGGTCTGGGTACAAGGGCAAAACTGATTCCCCTCATCACTATAGGAACACGGAACGGAACCCTTTCCCTCTAGATGGGACTAGCAAAAGAGCCCATTTGACTGCTGATTAACCACACAAAGGAAGCTAGGAACCAAGGTACCTGGGCCATTTAGAAGGCTTAAATGAGGCAAGAAAATGCCATTTCTGAAGCCCCTTTAAGAACAGAAGAAGGTACCACAATGCTTCCGGAACCACAGCTCCAGCTTCCAGCTGGGACTGGACAATGGACCAGGATTCTGAACCTCAACACAAACCAATAAGAGGACGCTGGCATTCCTCTACCTGGAAAGTAGCCCGGGTTGCTCTCACCCTGCACCCCCCCCCCAACGCTAACTGTAGAGACTGTGGAAGAAGCACTCCAAACTCCCACAGGGTGGGCCTTCCAAGATCAGGTGGTCCAGCTGGGTTGGGTATTCCTAAGGATGAACTAAAGACAGTGGATCTAGAGGGGGGAAAAAAGAATGCTTTTTTATAATAATTCTATTTTTATGTTATGTACATTGGCATGTGTGAGCGGGCATGTGGGTGCTTGGAATTGAACCCAAGTCCTCTGGAAAAGCAGCCAATGCTCTTAACCACTGAGCCATCTCTCCAGCTCCAGAATGATTTCTTTTTAACATTCAGTGCCAAGAAGTGACGATTACACAGCCCTGTCCATGCAGCTACCTCACGACCTCCCTGTGGCCCCCACCTTGTCAGATCCAGCTGTTCTCTGGGCCTCCAGTCTTAACCCACTGACTGCACACCAGGCTATCCCCAAAGAGACATTTTAACAAGCACCCCTCGCCCCTCCCACACTGCCCAAGCCTCCCAAAGAACACACCTAGCCTCAATGTTTGTACTCCCTAAAAGGAGAGAGCAAGTTTACAGGGAGGTCATTTTGCCTCAGGAAACAAGCAAATTAAGTTGAGGCCCACAGAGGCCTGGGAAAGGCACTCCCCATCATGCTGGCGACCTTGGGCCCTGCAGTTTCAGGCAGGAAAGGTCACTGGCATGCAGCCCCTTGTTTATGGAGCCCGGATGCTGGTGATGTGGTCACCTCCAAGGAACACAATTAGCAGCAGCAGCACGCCAAACTCTTTTATTGGTTACCTCTAAAACCCTGCAGAAGTCTGCCTAACTCCTCACAGAAGAGCGGAAAAGAAAAGTGCTCTCAGCAGGAGGGGGAAGCCAGGGCTCCGTTTATGAGCAATTAGCAAATCAATGATTCTCAGAGACGCTGATTTAGACCAGCAGTTCTTATTAGGACCCTCGAGGAAAAGGCAAGGACACACAGCTTCCAGGCGAAACTGAAGTTTAAAAGGGGTAAGTGCCACAAACTACCTTCTGTGTCTGCCCACCGGGACACACTCAGAACGTGTGCTCAGTCCGAAGTTAAATTAAAATCTACTTGAAAGTTGGCTCCTTAAAATGCCCAGAACCAGTGGAGACGACAGCTGGTAGTCCCATTGACCTAGGTGAAATTATTCTGTCTACATAGTAGGAATGGGACACGGAATTGGCTATCAGCCGAAAGAAAGGGGGAAACGAATAAAGAGAAGGGGCTTGCAGGGAAGGCTCATCTGAGCCACACGACCCTTCATTTGTCCTCATTAGAAAGGCAGGGCAGCACACAGGTCCCTCCTTCCACTCCATCCACGCAGGATGAGAAGACATTGATCTCCCAGATAAAGAGCCTACAGTTGTTGGTTGTTTTGTTTTTGTTGTTGTTTTTTTTTTTTAAATAAAACCCTTCATGGCCTCAAACACCTGTTCAAGAAATCAAAGCTACATGACAGAAAGTCCTCGTGGGGCCTCTGCTAAGGGACAGGCAAGGAGAAAATAAAACATTTCTAAAAATACAGAGAGGCTTGCTGGGAAAAACAGGGTTCCAGGGCCACAGAATTTCATAGAAATACTTCTCTGAGGAACTGTTCTGTAACTGCTTTTTAAACATCTAGTTCTAGACCACAGAATTCAAAGCAGCTACATGCAAAAGCTTCCCAGACATAACTGGGGGTTCCCAAGGCTCCCATTAGCTGACAACACTTCACAGCGCTCCCTGGTCTCTGGGAAGTCTCCTCCTTCCCTCCCCACTACTAATCTCCCTGAAAAGAGACCCTCCCCCTTCATTCCCCACCCTCTTCTTTCCCTTGCCCCCCCCCCACCAGGATGAGCAGAGATACGAATGCAAACCCATCCTAAATTACCATGCTCTGCTGTGAAACTGCATGACTCTTGGGTTAGTCTGGGTTTTCATATTAATATTCACTTTACCCACTTGAAAGACAGAGACAGCAAAAAACAAAACAGAAACGTTTTAGTCCCAGGAACATGGGTTACCTCTAAACACTCCCCCTGGCAGACAGTATGGGACTCTGCTATTTCACCTGGGAAGTGGAATGGGGGCCAGGCCCAGCCCCTCAAATACCCTCTTCCCAAGCTCAACCTTACTGCTCTATGCTTATCCTGAACAGGGATGCAATTTCTTCAAAAGTTGGAGAGAAACACTTGTGAGAAAGGAAAGTGGAGAGTAAATAAACCCTAAAGACCACCAGACAAAGCAGTTTTAATGCCAATACATTATTACCAACTTGTCCTCCCAGGGCGAGCAAGCACTTTGGTTGGCGGCTAGCGCAGGCGCACTGTAAACGTCTGGCCAACTTTAACTTCTCTCCCTAACCCAGCAGCAGATTGGACCTCCTGACTGAGTACAAGCTGATGGCCAGTCCTGGAGCGCCAACCCATAAAGTGGGAAGATGACATCACTGAGCCCTAAGTTTTCATTCCCATGATGACCAAATAAAAAACAAAAAAACCTAAAATAGTTGAGAACAAATTCCGGCAGAGGGAAAATCATTCTTTGCATTAATTATTTCTAATAATGTTTTAAAATTGGTACTAGGGTACTGTGCACATGGAGGTTAGAGACCAGCCTGTGGGATCCATTCTCTCCTTCCACCCTGATGTGGTTATGCGGTAGAGCTCAGGTCATCGTTGCGGATGGCAAGTGCCTTTACTCACTGAGCCGCCTCACCCGCCCCTCGCACAGTATTCCAATGAAACACTTTCTAATAAAAGTGAGGGGTATGGTGTTTGCTCTGTGGTAGTTGTCAAATCTCACCTCTCACGCCCGCTCGCTTACCCTAGTCACTTAAAGACAAATAAAGTTTACAGATTTCAAAACAGGCTGTGACTGCACAGCTGTAGGGAACAAAGCTGTCAACAGAACAAGCACACACATGCACCTCGGAAATACATACATGGGGCACTCAGGGTTATTTTTGTTTGGAGTGAGAGACATACCAGTTCAAGAAGATTCTAGACCAGCAGCTGCACTGCACACGTCACAGGGGGTGGTGGGGACAAACACGGGGCTACCTTCGAAACCTTGCGACCAGGCGTCACCAGAACAACCAGGCAGGGTGGAGGGCACAGGCCAGCCACCTCAGACTCTTACAGTAACACGAAGAAATTCAAACGGGAAGAAAAGGAGCTAATGCTTGGTCACTGTTCTACTCAAAGGGCTCCTTTTCAGGTTGAAAAAAATACAAATTTTGGGATGTGCTGATCCAAGAAATCAAAGCAATGTGCTTCCCTGTGGGAAGTCCAGTCCTCTAACACGTCATTTGTCTGTTTTTTCTTGGTACTGAGTCCCTTTAAAAAACTGTTAACAGCCGGGCGGTGGTGGCGCACGCCTTTAAACCCAGCACTCGGGAGGCAGACGCAGGCTGATCTCTGTGACCAGCCTGGTCTACAAGAGCTAGTTCTAGGACAGCCTCCAAAGCCACAGAGAAACCCTGTCTCAAAAAACCAAAAAAAAAAAAAAACTGCTAACAAATACAAGGCCAGCAATAGTTCCTAACTGAAGCATCTCTGGGACAGAAACACAGGCTAGATGGGACAGCAAGGAAAGCTCCCTGCCTATGCCACTAACTTGCACTCTTCCACCAGTCCCTGATCCTACAGAGGCATCACCCAGAGCCTACCCTTCTAGGAAGGGCACCCTGTCCTTTGGGGAAGGGCAACCTCCTCCCAGCCATGCACTAACTTTAAGGCTCGCCCTGGAGCAGACTGTTTCTTGCCCCTTTCCTTCTCATCCTTTCTTTGTATCTATAGGCAAATGCTCTTTATGTGGCTTTGGGCTTGGCATTCGTCTTTAACACATCTATAATGGGTCAGGGGCTCCAAGCCTGTTTCTGGTTATGACAGACAAATGGA